TAATTACCTTCAACTTTTCTTATTCCATCCAACCAGACTGCAATGTATAATGATTCAAATATTTCTTCTATTTTAGATAATCTATCAAATGGAATCCATTCAATCATTTTCTCATATGATGTTTCTTCAAGTTGAAATTCTTTAATGCATTCATCGAGGTCTTTATTTCCGCTTGTCCATCCTTCAGTTATCTTATTAAGATCACATGTGTGACACCAAGCAAGAGATGTGTTATATTGTTTAGATCCATCTTGATCAAATATACAGTTGCATGCATAACTTTGTTTAATGGTCTCTTCAACAAGCTCAGGGGAGTGAATGCTAGAAAAAAAGAAAGTAAATGAATTGAAAAAGTAAAATAGTTACTTGTAACAATTTAATTAATATGAAATACCTTTGTTCGCAGCTGTGAGAAATTGAAGATTCTGAGCATGTATTGCAGTAACTAGCTGCCTTGATATGACTTGGATCATCCAAATGACATTTATAAGCTAATAAAGATATTTAACTATATTTAAATTTCAAATGAATTAATAATGAGATAATAGATAATCGTTGAGAACATACGACAAATATGTCCACTGTTAAGGTAAAAAAAAAAAAGAACAATATAATGTCAAAAATACTCTAGAATAGATAGAATTTTATAAGCGTATATATATATGTTTACCAGTGCATTTGATAATTGCAAGATAATGTACAGCCACCATCAGGTGAAAAATCGTAGAACTGCTTTGGTTTTTTAATGAGCTTTACAATTTCTGGATGGGACTCACAGACGATAGGGAATGCTTCTCCAACATAATTCCTATTATCATATAATCATGAAATTGATTTTAAAATTTAAATTCTATTTAATAGAAGTAATACATACTTTTCTTTCATCATATTAATAATATTTCTCCACATATCAGATTCATTCGACATTAGTTTTTCATTTCCGAGTAAAAACATTCCGTGCTTAGCACGTGAAAGGAGAACATTGATCCGATTTTGTGATCGTAAAAATCCAATAGTCGTACGATTATGAAGTGTCACATTTCGTACCAAGGAAATTATCACAATTATTGCTAATATTTATAAAAAGAATTTTTAATTAAGAATTACCATCAATAAAAATAAACGAAAACTTACTGACCTTCCTCACCCTGAAAATCATCAACTGTCTTTACTTTAACTTTAAAATTAGATGATGTAAAAGTTTTTATTATTTTGAGCAAATAAATTAGCATAGCAAACATGAGAAAAAATTAAAGAATCTTCATATGTTGATGAAAAATAATGTTACATACTATTTATAAATTGACCTTTTAAAGCATCCTTAATTTTATAAAGTTGGTCTATAAGTAACCAATAAAAATTAATAATCGACAAATAAAAATTAATAAACTATAAAATTATAAAATTTTGATATTAAACTTACTAAGATATGGTGTTAAAACTGCAATGTCATTAGGCTTGTCATAACCCTAAATTGAAAGCCAATAAATTTATTATATCATTCAAATTATTCAATTAATTAATTAAAAAAATGTAAATTGTGAACCTTACGTTGCGGACAAGATGACGTACGAGTGCGACCAAAAATTCTACCTCAAATTTATTTGATTCAACCTCTTCTGGATTTCTATGATCAAAGAAAAATAGATCATGTTTTACACCTCGAACCTTAGGGTACTTGGTTGTATTTATTGCATCCATAAGTGCAGGATAAATAGGTCTTATTAAATCAGCAATTTCTGGCCTCATTCTTCGCTGTTCGATAATTTGGGAAGGGACCATCCCTTCGTCTATTAAATATGTGATGAACGTAAGGAGGTTATAATTCAAGACAAATATAAGATTTAATGCATAGTAATAATAAACAAACTTATTAAACGTTCAAACAAGGATCTGTCAAGTTTAAAAGCTTTTCCAATTTGTGAGTCCATGGATAGAATTTTTGTTGAAATATGTGGACGCAACTGGCGATGGTCACCAATGAGAATGATATGTTGCATAGATGGACATAAAGAACTTATCACATGTGCCTCTAAAATTTCTCCCGCTTCTTCAACAAGCATAACCTAATTACAATAGATGCTTGAATAAACAAAATCACTAAAACTTTCTGTTTTATTAAAATTTAGCTTACCTGAGGGGCAACATGGAGGATCAAAGATCGATATTTAGCAACGCCGCTGGTAGTTGCACCAAGTATTTGAACATTTTTCGGGTCCTCTGGTTTCTCTAAATTTTTTATCCTTTCAGATTTAGTTCTCGATCCTAAGCGCGTAATTCTTGTAATATTTTTATCGATTAAATTCTCAAGAAACTGATCCAATGCATGATTCGTATAAGCCATTACAAGAATTGGGAAAATTGATGCATTTAACAGAACTTTTATGAGTTCAACTCCAACATGTGTTTTCCCTATATTAGGAGACAATTAAAAATAGATAATATTTCACAATTCACAATTAAAATGCTTACCTGTTCCAGGTGGACCTTATCACGGCATGCCAGAATAAATGAAACAGACGTTAAGTATGAAGTGTGTGCTGAATTCAATCACAGTATATTAACCATGTTACCTTGAATCAGAGAGAATTCACTACATAAAGTATTTACCAGAGCATATGCTTGAGGTCTGTTCAAAGTACTGACATTTTGTGTAGATAATTTTTCTATTGCATTTACCCGCGAGTCTAGACATTGTACATCCAAGAATAGAGAATCACCAGGGTTTTTTAATAAAATCGAAAGATCAAACTTAAATTCTGAAGTACGTGTGTACGCAGGAGTAGCAACCTGAATTGCCAAAGGTGACATTATATATTGTTCAAACGGTAAACGATAAGGATACATTTCCTGCAATGTCATTAATATGTGCTTATAAGCTCCGAAATAAACATTTGGTGTCTCAACCATGAAACGTCTTGGGCGATCAGGATGTTCCATTCCTTTTTCAATATCATCACAAGCAATTTGATAAATAGAGTGATCAGCAAAGCAAACATTAACTATCGCTTCTTTATTGTTTAATGAGCTTTCATTAGATTTAGTAATCTCTCCAAAATAAAGTTCATATTTTAGACAATCACGTTTCCAAATGACGCAAATTAAACTTCCGCGCTTTAATTCTTTATACTTAAAATCTTGTCTATTAGATTTTTCTGAATTCATCTTTGGAGATTTAAAGGCAACCTCACAAAAAATATTATTATCGGAACTCACGCAACTCACGAAACGAAGATTTGTGTATACATTAAGGCTACTATCTATGTCTTCCTTTTCGTGACGAAATATACCGCTTTGGACCTGAGTTTCGTTTTTATTAATATAGGCCAAAAAATGATTAATTCCTGCACGAATTGGACTTATCATATCTTCCCTTAATAGTCTAAAGTGAGTATCGAGAAAGCGGGCAGTACAATCAGAAAGAAAATGATGTGCATTTTTTGAGATTATAGGTAACGAAGGTTGACGTAGAGATAAGATCTCGTCCTTTGTTGGAATAATTGAAATTTTTCTTATTTCAGATTTATCATTGTTATGTCTTGGTCCAAATCTTGATTTTTCGCCTAATGATTTTTTCTTTTTGACAATTAGTGATACTAAATTATAAATGACTTTTCTTAATAAAATTTACCTGGAGGATCATATGAAATTTGGAACTTGTATGAGCCAAACAATGGTTTATTATCAGAATTTCTCCTTTCAACCATAATAGAATGTTAACTAACTTGATTGTTCATACAATTTTGTTAAATGCACACGAGCTTATAATCAAAACCATTAATGCATAAATTCTATTAAAACTTTATGTACAGTACGTACGTACGTGCGTTTTTCAAATTTCCTTATTTGATCAAATTGGGTGATTAACCAATCAAAATCTCTCTTAAAAGCATGTCGGTGAGCAATTTTATCTATAGCCTTGCCAATTCTTGAACTCTGAACAACCCTAATCTTTATTTGTTTTATTTTAACATCCTTTCAAATAAGGAAATT